CTCAATGGTGGATTGCTTTCTTGATAGGCCTATCTACGTACATGCCGTGTAATGGTATAGTGACGAGGCTTTGGCCCAGTCTCTAAAGGCCAACCATTACACACAAGGTTCACATAATCCCTCGGCTCACTTATCCGAGCAACTCCGACCTCATCAAGGGATGACCCACTGAACCCTCATCGGTTTAACACTTTAACTCTATACCCAGGTACCTTGGGTTTTCCAACTCGATTGGCCTAACACGTCGAGCCAAGTCAGAGTATCATCAAATAGCATTTGCCTAGCATGGTCCCAAAGAGGACCACATTCCCACTAAGTTTACGTTTCATTATAAAATATTTTATACAAGCACTTATAAGGTCTTCAATGGCCACATAAACCCAACAATACTACTTAAATAGCTACTCATTCCATGCCAAAGTTATGTTCTCCATTTTAAAGCTAGCACTAGCAAAAATTTTAAATTTTTTTATTTTGTTTAACTAGTATGTGGGACCCAACTCAGTCGTGCAATTATCATTACTAGATTGTGGCTTCTATTTAGGAATGAATATAAAGAACTTATGCCCTAATAGCATGTCCATCCTGCATGAGTCATGTGGTCCATACCAGCTCCACCAAGACTGGTTACTTTTGGGTGGTTGGCCATGTTGGACAAAGTTCTTACCTGTGATCATCTAAATCATTGAAGCTTCCAGTTTCCCAGCATTTGTTACTTATGTTGGAAACTGAGGAAGAAATGGTGGACCACCTCCGACTGCCTTGCCCATTTACCAGACAGGTGTGGTGCTTTCTCTTTGGATTATTTCCAATGAGCTAGGTGATGCATTCCTTGGTGGAGGCCTTTGCAGCATCTTGGAAGGGGATCCTTGCTCTACAATAGTAGAACTTGTGCCTCTCAATGATCCTCTGGTATATATGGAAGGAGCATAATGGTAGGATCAGTGGAGGCATGGCCCACCACGTCACCCTTTGCAAGAGGATAATAGATGTGATCAAATATCCTGGGCACTTGCAAGGGCCAACTTTGTGAGGTGAGGGTTCAAAACTTCGCCGTTAATTGGATGGGGGGCCACTCTTAGACTGAAGCCTAGACCCAAACCACAACTTAGATGGGTCCCTACTTCGACTGATAACTTCAAACTCAACTTTGATGGTAGCTGCAAGGTAATCCAGGCCTTGGAGGTGTAGGGAAGAATTCAGAGATAGAACAAGGAACGCCTTGATGTCCTTCTCTAGACCCTTCGGGACTAAACTCTAAGCACGCGAAGAGTTCAACGCTCCTGATGAGATTGAGGCTGTACAAGGACTCTTTCAAGTCGCCTCTTATTGTGGAGTACAACTTTCAATGTTATACATTGGGCATAGAGAGAGTCCCCACTTTCCATGAAATTTGGCAGATATGATGGAGGAGATTCTTTCTCCGAGTGAAGCGCCATTTGCATTTGTTGCAGGTTGACGCAGATCTACAGTGAAGCCAATGAGGTGGGCGATGGCCATGCCAAGAAGGGAGCGAGATTGATTTTCTTACAAGTACATATAACCCCTCTACCATAGACTTCCATATCATACCCTAGATATGCCACCCCATCCCCATTCCTTGTTGTTTTCTTTACCATGTATACATATCCATTTGTATATCTCTTGAGTTGATGTATACCTAATCCCCCAGTAATAAAAAGTTACTTATAAAAAATAAATAAATAAATAGAGTGCCATGAATTGTGTCTATTCATTTATCATAAGGCTGAGTTATTCAAAAAGTATTGCTTAGTCAAATCACTTTGTCTGAGTTCATTGAACAGAGAACGAGGCAACACTTGTTTAAGGCCCCTTTCTGAGAAAACTCAAAGCCCAAAAATGATTCGATACACATTAGTATGAGAATTTTAGAAAAACATGCATAGATTTCCTTCGGAGTTACTAGACTCCCCATTGGAAATCTGAAGGCACATGGTTTAGCAGGATCTATAACTTAAGCTTCTGACGGTTCTGAAAATACCTCAGCATTTTTTCTTAATTACAGTTTTTCAGGTCAAACCATAATGCCTGAGTTAATGCAAGAGGAACCTAACAGAATGTTTCAGCTCCAATTTGAGAGAACTTAACAATATGCCAATTTTGGATAAATATGCAATGGCTTTTCCCCATATCAATTGTTCTATATGGTTCCATACCTAAACGTTTGAAGATCCATCTATGGGCTTTCCACTGCCAATATTCATTCTTAATTATTCAAAAACCCAAATATAGATGAATGGATCCATAGTAACTAGATATCTCCTCCTAGGTGGAGATCCTGCTTTGGAATCTCACTCTGGAGCTCTAGGAAAGGGATTTTTAAGCGATCTTAATCCTCACTGTTAGAGATCTCAATTCCAGTTATGAGTTTCTTTATTTTTAGTCACTTAGCAATGTGAGTATACCTTTAATATGGATGTGTAGCTTGCTGGCTATAAAATAAAGAATTCCTTATTTAAAGAGTATATATAGACAGACATAAACTATATATGCTCTTCACATGTGGAGCAAGATCCCTAAAACGTTGGGATCGAGATCCCTAACATTTGGGGATCTCAACTTTAACATATGCATTGCAAGGACGGCGTTCCAAACTATAGGGATCTTCGAGCCTTTCAAGGCCCCAGCTCTTGATCCTGCTCTCAATCCCAACAACTATGATTGGACCATATCTAAGTTTTAAATTACTATTTTTCTCAAACACTGCAAATGGTTTTTCTAATATGTGCCCTTTGAAGTCAAGTAGGGTGAGTTGGTTTAATAGATGCCCAATTAAAAAATATTAGGTGATAACGAAATGGCATATCAAAGTTTGAATCTGCCAAATGCATGTTAAAGGAGACAGCACACATATTTCTTCCTATCGTAGATAATTTTTTCCTAATATCACAAAACTCTATACTGCTAATATCAAATACCAAAACCACGATAAGCAGAAAAGCTAGATCGTAGAATATGTGAACTAAGCTATATAACTATATGAATCACCATAACTTTCTAAAAGTGATAAAGCATGTTTCTAATGCCCCATGTAACTAAAACATTGATACCAAGCAATAATACAAATTATCCTAAATTTGGACAAGAGTATTTCCCATGAACTTTTGATATTTACCCAAAAACGAAGTAGTGATGATTACCTCCATATACAGATTGGCCCGTGAAATAGCCTCTGAAAGCCCACTTCTCGCTGATGTTGCACGAGCATCAGTCCGTGCTACAAGAAAGAAGTCTGAATCTCCAATGGCATCCCTTGCAGAAGCTATTTTGGCTGCATGCTCCTCTGCCGGTATAACCTTAATAACATACCAAACGACTATGAAAAAAGATGCTGCAAACTTTTGATGACTCCCATCAACTAAATCACCATGCTCCAAAATAAACTTTGAATATGATCACAAAATCAAGTAAAAGATCATGATCAGTGAAATTCTAGGCATGATTACATTTTCATCCTCACTGATTCACCCAAAAAAACATGATTACATTTTCATAACTTTGTATCTTGAAAAAACCCAGATTTGTCTCTTAGGAATTGCTTAATGGTTGATGTATCAGTCTGGGAGAGGAAGGCCAAGGGTTTGAACCCTTGACATTCAACCCAAAAGTCCTAGAATAGCTTACCACCCTTAATTTTTCCAAAGTAACCCACATACATATGTAGATGTAATGGAGATAAGAAATATGCAACCGTATGTTATTTTGTTATTGTGTAAATATGGAGATGTTCGAGCCAAAACAACAAGACATGAATGTTTGAAATTAAAACCCAAGCACCCAGCTTTGCTTACCTGTTTGCCGCGCATGTGCCCTTTGGTATTTTAACATGAAAAGACAACAAACCACGCATAAGTCTGGTGCAGAAAATTTGAGTACAGACAAAGAGCATTGCTTGTTTCACATGCATGGCTGTGCATGTGTGTGCATGCGTGTGTCGGTGTGTTGACGAGTGTGTGGGGCCAGAATAGTTCAAATAAGATAATATGAGGAAAGGGTCATAACTCTCGTACCGCATTTCTTAGGCCATGCTTGATCCTGGAATGAGACAATAAAGAGTGAATACAAGTGCAAAAGGATCAATGTTCCATTAAACAAGGGTACATACAATCTGACGCAACCGAATTAACATTTCTAAATAAGAAAATGACCACATAATCAATCTGATTGTGCAAATAACGCTTTCTGCAATAAACGTTTTGGGCAGTTGTTGTAACTTACCTCAAGAAAGCAACCAGCAGCACCTGCTGCAATTAAGTCTTTTACTGTCCTCTGGACATTGAGAGCATTACCACCGCCGGTATCTGAGATGAACATGAGTTTAAAAAATTCCATTTAGGTGTCATGGCAGAGCACTAGAAAGTATTGATATAAGATACACCAGTGTTTCTTGGAAAGTAAATAAGAAACAGATCCCCACTCAAGATAATCTTTTGTTCAATGCAAATGATTTAGGCTCAGACTGTCGCAGGATAAAAATGATCACAAACTCATATATAAGAGGAAAACAGGATGTCTACATTTCTTACCAGCACTAATCTGGTTTACTATGAAAATGACCAGGCACTTAATAACTCACACTGGAATTGCCAAGAGTGAGGTTACAAAGAAAAAAAACAGAAAAAAAAGGAGGTCACCAGAACCAACACATTAAACATCAGTTCCTGTATGCACAGAAAGCACAACAAAGTGTAAATAAAGAATGAAACACATCAAGGAGGAATGGGAGATGTTCATTTATCTGTATCCAGGATCAAGCTACATCAATACTTAATTATTGGCATAGCAGTTTGGTTGAGAGCATGGCAGCATGGCCTACGATATTGCAATTCTTAGGGCTCTTAATTGTTGACAAGCTACATCTCAACTTGGCTAATTGTACGTAATCATACAGTTGCAGCATTATTATCTATATAGAAGTTATTAATATTCACCAGCATACAATCTATCCATTGAAAGGGCCTAGATCAATTCAATGATTAATGTTTTTTTCTCGATAATGTTAACTGTATAGATGAAGAGAAAGTACATCATGCGAAGAGGGAACCCACAGACCGGGCCTCTTGCCAAAAAAAGACTGCGAAGAGGGAACCCACAGACCGGGCCTCTTCCCAAAAAAAGACTTACCGTGATGGTAGTCCTATACAAAAAGTGGATTAGTACAAGTACAAAACCCTTACATAATACAAGAAAAGCCATATACAAAAAAGCCCAGTCACACTGGGTCACGAGACGGGTGAGAGTGCACCATCTATAGCCAGCTGATCTACCAGGGTGTTGGACTCACTCCAGGTATGCCTCCATGAGATGGCTATATCCCTACAAATGTGAGTAATCTCGTCAAAAATCGTTGCAAGGTACCAGGGGCAAGGTGATGAGCCGAAGGCCCATGTGATGATGTTTTGAGCATCTCCTTCGATAATCAGGGGTTGACCCCAAGAGGGATCGAAAAGTCTTGTCCGAATAGGAGTGCCGACTCAGCTAGCTGTGAGTCTGCGTGACCAATGTTTCTGGAGAAGGAAGAGAGGATGTTCCCGAGTTGGTCTCGAAATGCTCCACCCATACCTGCCGCGCCAGGGACAGTAAAGGGCCGGGATGGAAGGAGGGGTAACCCAGTTGAGGCCGAAGAGTTGGAGCAGTGAACCCCACAAAAGCAAGTTGAGAGTGGATGAAAAGATGGGAGTTGCTTTCTTCATCAGTAAGGCACATCGCACAGCGTTTGGGGATAGGGACCCCTCTATGCTGGAGATGATCCACTGTAAGGGCCTTTTGCGAGATAACGATCCAGATCAGGGCTTGAACTTTGGGAGGGGTGATGGATGACCAAGCCTGAGCAACGATGGATCTAGGGGAGAGGGAGAAGGTAGGCGGCATCATCAGTTTCTTGTAAAATGAGGCAACAGAGAACCTTCCCGAGGGCGAAGGGGTCCAAATGATTTGGTCAGAGCCCGAGGAAGCCAAAAATGTGGATTGCAACAAGGATGACAAGGTAAGAAAATTAGAGGTTTCGAGGTCAGAGAGGGGCCGCCTGAAAGAAGGACTCCAGACTCTGGGTGAACCTGAGAGAAGCACCTCCTCTGCGACAGAGAAGAGATTGTTAGTGACCAAGGAGCAGGCAAAAGTTCTCCAAGGAGGGTATGGCCCACCCAGGGGTCAGACCAGAAAAGAACACGATGTCCTACTCTAGCGTCAATTCAATGATTAATGTTGTTGCAAGATTTTCTACAATGAGGTCTAATCATTGTCAGGATTGATTTCCTTCACAAGTCAAACACAGACATTGTTCCTGAAGTCAGTAATTAAAAGATTTTCTCACAGATCTTGAGGTGTATAACTGCAGGAGCACAAGTAACATCTCAGCATCTCTTCAAAGTAGATATTGGAGATTCCTTTATCCATTTCAAGTGCAAATAAACTTGCAGATATATTTGAATATCTAATTTTATTACTAATAATTCTCCACATCAAGCGGAAGATCAAGTTTCGTTATTTGATGTTTTTGGGAATCTTTTCATGCTACTAGTGAATTATTCAAAGATAAAGAAAAGGTAAGATGATTACCTAAGTGATATACATTGTAAAATTTCTAGAAGTCATATGAGATTGGTTAAATAGGACAAAATAATCTAAAACAATTCAAGAATCAAAGTAATGAATACAGAGTATGGAAGAACAATAGTGAGCAAAGGATAAATCTGTGGTAACTTATTATATTTGCTAGAGATGCATATTACAAGAAAGATGATATTACAATCTACTTAAAGTTTTGCAAATGTACATGATTTTTAGAGGTCCGACATATCCCTTTCATTCAAAAAACATGTAGAACTGTGAATGAAAAAGCAAATTAAAGCCATTTGAATTCTAAACAATGACAAGAATACCCTTATGCCACTAAAATAAAAAGCCCACCAAGATAAGAGAAACATGGCAATTCACTTTCACAACAAGAAATATCAAAAAAAAAAGAAAAAAGAAAGACGCAAATGGACAACTAATGAAATGTTGCAATTGTCCTCATTCCAGCCTCCAAGCTTTCAATTGCACATTATTCATATTATTCATATCCAGCACAGGAATCTGAAGCCTTTCATTGCTTACCTTTCTTAGGAGTCCAAAAGCAGGTCTTGATTTTTCACTTAAGGCGTTAAAAGGGGAATGTAGTCAAACTTAACTCAACAGAAACCTAGTAAACCTCTCATGGATCAACTAGAAATTGAAAATGTTTTTCAGGGGGAATAAAGCCATAAAACAGTTTCATAGACAGACAAAAAAGATATATAGCTACCATAAGATTTCTCAGAGTCAAATGAGAACAATTCACCTTAGAATCTAAAATATTGTTATAACCAATGAGATGAGTCAAATGTAAATGATATGGAATAAGGAATTAGGACGTAACTGAGATCACTTCCAGAATGCTATTCACAATAACTTAAGATAAAATTACTGCCAATAGGTGTCGGAAGAGCATTATTTTAACTCTTAGCAATAACAACCTGTTGATAGGCTACGAACTTAACTGATTTACAGAGACATATTACGTGATAACATAAATGCTATAACTAAAACTAATATTATTTAATAAATAAAACTGGCAAGCGTATAAGCAAGGCTTTATTTGTACAGGACAGAAAATTCAAAATTTAGGCATAAGGAGTTCATGCAAAAACATTGTTGTCCGAAGAAAAATAACATCAATCCTATAAGATCATGTGTAATATTCAATGAAGATTCAGGGTTCAATAAACTTGAGTCACCTAGACTCAAGCAAATCAGACTGACATGTCAAGAGTGACATTGATTCACCTGACCTTTGGCCAAGTTGGACCTAAATCATATGGCGAGTGAACTTCCCATAACAGCTGCTAATCAAACCATAGTTGCACAACAAGTGGCACTTTTTTCTTTATTTTTTTCCATAAGCTTTCATGGTCCAATTGTGCTTTACATTTGTAGTTTACGGGCTGCATAGTGAAATGAGACATACAACAATCTCAATTTTAGGATTTTGATCAGTAGAGTGCTGTGAATAGATAAAATGTCCTCAGGAATATCCAATAATCCTTTGGCAAAATTGTGCCAGATCACTTCTCATTAACTACTATGGAACCTTCAGCCAAGGAGATAGAGAGGAGGGAACATAAAGACACCCTGAACCCAAAACCCAAACACTTGGGCCCAAAGAAGTCTCTCTATGCCAAGAATGAAGGATGAAACCAGTAAAACACAAGTCCATTTCAATCTGATTCACATATAGCCAAACCCTATGATCCTCATCAAGTCTACCAACATTCTAGTTGACATGGTCATATTACCTCCAAGTGACAAGGTAAGCCAATGGTGAGTTTGACACCTAATCGTAGAGTTGACAAGCCTGTAAGCTAATAGGATTTTTTTTTTTTTTGGGGTAAGTAAGCTAATAGAATCCATGAGTTCTATCCCATCACAGATAAGCTCCAAACATCAGTGCCTTCTGAAGAAAACGACCTTGATAAGGAGAGATAAAACATGGTGTGTCTGCAGGTACTCTGATGAAAATCAAATCATATACCATCTAAAGAGAGAATTGAACAGGAATAGAAAACTGTGCCAAACACATTGGAACAGGTTGTCAAGATATTCTACCTCTAAACTGAAGTATAATTAGAGAAAAATGCCAAAAAAAAACTTCTATTAAAAGTACATTCCTCATAAAATCTATGACTGGTTTTTTTAGTACAATGCCAAAGCCTACATGTTAAAACATTAACATTTCAAGATCATAATCCTGATATTGCACAAATTCACTCACATCACGAAACAATTGCAGAAGTTAACCACACAAATGCCCTCTATGTAACATAATAAAATGAAAGAGAAAAATCCATCCATGCCAAGTTTTCTGATTTCTTAGAAAAAGATATGCTCCAAAAGAAACATAGAATAGAAACTCTAATCCACACACCAATTTTCTTATAGGAGCATTCTTTTTAAACAAAAAAGCAATCCCAAGAGAAAAGAGAAGAAGAAGGAATATAATAGAGACGGAATAACATGAAATCAAAAACCAAAATGCATGAGCTTACCTGCATCAGCAATGATGGGAATTCCAGGAGCCGCAGCACACACAAAGCGAGCAGTTTCAGCCATCTCTGGAGGCCTAAGAACCCAACACGTAATGAAACAAATAAAACAAGGAGCAATTCAATCACGCAAAGAAAAAATCATAGATTTTGACAATGCACAAGAAAGGAATACAGGTCAATAATAAAACATAGCCATCTCTAGAGTCCTGAAACAATGAATAGTTGAACTACCCAAAACGAATACAAGGAAAAAAAATCTGATATGGACTATGTACAAAAATGAAAAAATAAATGCATGGAAAACATAATGATCGATTAAATCAATATACACATAAACCATGAATATTTCAATCAACAAAAAAACAACAAACCAGTTCTCGACAAAATGAATCTGAAAAAGAAAAGGAAAAATTACTAGAAATATGCAGCACCTTTGGAGGCTAAGAACACGATAAATAAATAAAAATTAGCAAATGACTAAAACAATGTATATAAAAAAAAGGAAGTCCAAGTTTGGCCAAATGCATTAAACAAAGAAGATAGCGCAATAGAAAACAAAGAAAGGATATTAGCATACTGGTAAAATTGCATCAGCATGCCATCTTTAGAGGCCTACATTTATAAATAAATAAAACCATGGACAATGCAATTACTCCATCGGAAAAAAAACTGAAAGCCTCGAATAAAATCAGAAAAGAAGTGAAAAACAATGAAATCATGCAACACTTAAAAACCCAATAATAAATAAACAAAAACAATGACTATATTCAATTATCCAAATAAACAAAAACAATGACTATATTCAATTATCCAACTGAGAAACCGAACAAATCTCCACAAAAATGCATAAAAAAAAAAAACAAGAAAAGGGCAATGAGCAAGTGGGTTCTTTACGTTAGCAACCCGAAGTCCGGCTTTCCAAGGAGAGAAGCAGAGAGAGCATAACCAGAGATGAAACCAGCAGAGAAACCAGACTTCTCAACAATGGCGGCCGAGAGAGCGTCATAACAACCAGGCATTAGAACAGCGCCCTGCTCCTCTATCAACCTATGAATTCTCGTAGAAGCAGAAGCCTTGAAGCTCCTCTTCTTGAGGTCAGGTTTTGTTGGGTAATGGATTCCGGTGCTCATAGACATCATCGCCGCCATTGCTGCAACTCTGAAGCTCTGTGATCCACCCTCAAACCACCAGGTGTTAGAGGAGTGAGAAAATAAGAAATTTAATGCCGTTCTCTTCCATTTGTGACGTGGACTTTTAAGTAGAATTTTTAATGGAAAATTGCTTATAAACCCGAATATGTACTTTTTAGACACTTTACCCCAACCCAATTTTTAACATGTTTTTCTAAATAATACCTCAATACAAATATTTTTTTTTTAACAAAAATATCCTTTTCATATCTAACAAATTATTTTTATTGGAGAGGGCGGTCCCGTGTTTAAAAGTGGCAATTACGAAAATATCTTTTTCTTATCTAATAAATTATTTTTATTGGAGAGGACGATCCGTGTTTAAAGGAAGCGTTTTGGTGTTTAGAAGAGGCGATCCGACGATTATTTTACTGCAATGGGTGGTCCGACGTTTCATTGTGAGGGTCCGTGGATTGGAGATATAGGTAGTGCAACGTTTTGAAACAGCGGTCCCATGTTTCATTGTGAGGGTCCGGGAATCGAAGAAATAGGCAATGCGGCGTTTTGATACAACGATCCGGCATTTTGAAGGCTCTGGCGTTTTAAAGTGGTCGTATGACATTTTGAAGGGGCAGTCTTACGTTTTGAAGTAAACAGTCCAGCATTTTACAAGTGTGATCCGGCGTTTTCTTTTTATTGGGATTCGAAAATGATTTATGTCCGAAAAAGGTATTTTCGTTATAAATAAAATAAACTTTTTTTATTGGATGTATTAGCCAAAAAAAGTTGATTTTGAAAAAAATATGTTAAAAAAAATTAGGCCGTGTAAAGTGAGAAAAAAAGCTTATATTTAGGGGTTTTAAGCAATTTTTCCTAATTTTATTTATAAAAAAATAGGGTTTCAACCCATTCATATATACCCGTGCGGCTGCCCTCTAAAATTCATCTTAGATCAATGAATTTTAAAATGTGCTTGGGGATATTTTTGACGCTGTTTATATTTGATTTAACCCCATGCGTTTTACACAACGTTCATCTTAAAAGACGGACGTTGAAGAGTCAGCAGGTTATTGCACCTATTAACTCATAAAACAATTTTCCATTAGAAAAATGAGACAATTAGCATGCGGCCCAAGCCCACACAAGTAGAAATGTGAGCCCCTTAATAAATCTATTTTTGAGATGAATTTTTGGATTTAATTTTAAAAATATGTAATCTCTAATATGAAGATCAAGAATATGAAAAAATAAATAAATTTTAAGAACTAGAAATAATAATTATATTAAAAAAACATTTGGACTGTTAGTTTCAATTGTTTTTAGATGGACCACATATTTGCATCTATCATTAAGATTGATGCTTTATACTTATAGACCTCATAAGTAGAAATGTGGTCCAGCCTACATAAAACAATTTTCCTTAAAAAAAATATATAAATAGATTATTTACTTTTGGAAAACAGTTTGATAAGGCTGCAACCCTTTTAAAATAACTAAAGCCTTTCCTCATAACTCATTGAAAATTACAATTCAAGCATTAGAAAATTTTTACATCGATTATCTTGGTTTGAACGTTATGGTTGTGAAAAAAAAAAAAAAAAGGATTCAAGCTTTAAAAATAGTGTATATTGTAAAAAATTATCTAGACCGTCTATTTTGCCATAAAAATAAATGTTCATAGATCCACAAGATCTGTACCATTTTTTTACTTTTGAATTTCGTATTGAAAATTGATTTTAGAGTCATCATGAAGATTTTCGTTGCCGAAAGTACTTTCCGGACAAGGATTTGAGGTAAGGTTTTATTTTATTTTTATAAAACCTAGGCCTTATAGAAATATCATTTTTTTACTTTTATACAAAGATGTCATAATCACTCATGTACATTAGATTTCAAATCAAGTACTTGTGAATGTGTCATTTATTAGACTCAAAATTCCAGAAACTATTCGCAAACTTTGTGACAGAGCCTAATTCATCCAATTTCACATCCAACGGCAAGTAGTTATTGTGGCCTCTTTTGTAATAAAGATAAATGCTCTCGTAGCAATATTAAAGTTAGACAGATAAATTGATTATAATTTGTTTGATACGAAATCTCAAGACTCGTGAAAGTGCTGCATTTCTTATTTTTCTCAAAGTGAAGTTCCGCATTTTTATTATCCAATTAGAAGCCAAATGGAAGAATCTCCTGTCTGCCTACAACTTTATATAAAGGCTCCATCCTCAAGCTAGATATCTAATCAAAATTTAATATATATCATACTATTATGGGTGTGGTTTCTGTCAGGTTGCAACCTTAAACAATCCAATTAAGGTGCACCTCCAAATTTTATTATAGCGTATAATTTTGATGTAAGAAATTATTATGACTATTTTAAAATCTATTTTTATATTTAATTATAAAATTTTAAATTTTAAAATTGGTTAAAATCAAGTAGATCAATAAACATATGAAATTTCATACATCAAGATGATCAATTGGAGGGGTTTTCAACATTAAAACAACCATTTCCGCTGGATTTTTGAGGTGCATCTTTAATTCTACATTTTAAAGTTGCAACCTTATATAAACTTTTCGCTACTATGAAAGATGGGTGTTATTAAAGATGGGATAGTGCCATAGGGTCAAATTTATTTTCGGATGCGGTTTGTGGCCTTAAACAATCAAAATTAAAGCGCACTTCTAAATGGTGTCCAAAGATGTTATTTTAATGTAAAAAATTCTTGTGATAGCCTAAAAATATGTCTTCATATTTAATTATTGAAATTTAAGGCTTAAAAAAATAGTGTAGATTGAGCAGATCTATAAATCTCATAAAACTTGAAAATAAACGGTTCAAATAATACATTGCACGATGCCATATTTATAGGACTCAAAATCCTTTTTTTCAACATCCATATATCTTGAGGCCGAATTGATCAATTGGAAGGTTTTTCGGCATGTGAATAACCTTTTTTATTGAGTTTTAGAGGTGTGCTTTACTTGTGTATAATAAGATTGACACCTTATATAAACTATTCCCTTTATTTTCCCTAATAAATGAAGAGGGTGTATGGTATGCTCCCTTAGGAGGCAAAAGAGCTATTTGGGATGATTTTTTTGACATGAAATTTTGAGATCTATCTAAGAATCACAAGATATTTTCAAAAAAGGAAAAATAAAGTTTGAGTTCTTCATGCCCAATACTACATCTCAAAGTCAATTCTTATCACTGAACTACACAAAAAAAAAAAAAGGATCATGCCCTCCAAAGATTAGAGGCCCTGTTCAATTTTAAGATGATATTTTTTTCAAGCACATATCTTTTTGGGTTGGTCCCTCGGTTCATAGATGATATCATGCCCTCCAAAGATGGGATTTGAATGTTTCTTTTTGGGTTGGTCCCTCGGTTCAAAGGATTATATCCACAAAACTTGGGGTCCAAAAGATAAACCTAAGTTACGTTTTACGAGAGGGAGTAAATGCGAAGGCAGTATAAATATATACCATATTATTTAGAGATGGGTTTGAGAAGGCACTACACTGTACTAGGATGGGTTTGGAGCAGTGCTAGAAAGTGCGACTCGGATCGAGTAATCCGTTTGGCCTGAGCCGTTTACTCGGGCTGAGTCCGAGTAACTCAACATAATTAGTGTTGAATGGTATAAAAAGAAAAAAAAAGAGGTTAAAAGAAATATAAAAAAAGGTTTTAAATGCGAGGGCATTATATCTTTTGGCATAAATTATAAGCTAATCATCTAATATATACCATATTATTTGGAGATGGTTTGGTAAGGCGCTTCACTGCACTAGAATGGGTTTGGAGCAGTGTTAGAAAGTGCGACTCTGATCGAGTAATCGGTCTCGACCGGAGCTGATTAATCGGGCTGATTGTGAGTAACTCGGCTGAATTAGTGTCAAGTACTGTAGCAGCAAAAAAAGGTCAACAAAAATAAAAAATCCAAAAAATAAAAAATATATATTGAAAGTAAAATTAAGCAAAACATTTCAAAATGATATTAAAAATTTATAAAAAATAGATTCTAAAAAATCAACTTTTGACTTGGGGTATTTTTTTGAAATAATCCATAAAGGATGGGAAAACTGTAAAAATAAGTATTTGCATCCAAGATACTTTCCAATCTTTGGCAACGTGATAGAAAACATAAAATAATATATCCCAAATACATTCCCTTTTTTTATAAATTTTTTTTAATGTCTTTAATATCCTTGAGTTGGACACCAAACTCGAGACAACTCAGGCTAAACAAGGGCCCAAGCCCGAGTAACTCAGTTGAGTAGAAACTACTCAACTAATTTTGCAAACACTAGTTTGGAGTAGGGGTGGCAACGGGTCGGGTGAGGCTAGACCCGGACCTAAATAGTCAAGGTTTTGGACATAGACTTGTCGGGTCCCAAAATTGGACCCATACCCATACCCATTGGGTCCCAAGTCTAGTTGGGTCCATTGCCACTCTATGACTATGAGATTATTTTTAACTCTATGTTTTACTATCATATATCCATATTATTGGCAGCACGGTCACAATCACCCGCCATTAGATTCCCAACCGTCTTATTTGTATTTAATAGCTAAAGATGACTATAAGTTCTTATTGTATATGATACTTAATACACCCAAACAAATAGGGCTTAAAGTAAAGTATTTTATCTCTAAAGGTCGGGTACCGGTCGGTTTCAGCTGGACCCGGATCCAAACCCGAATAGTGTACGGGTCCAAGTTTTAGACCTAGATCAAACCATCGGTACCCAGACCCGAGGTCGGGTCTACCTGTAAGGTCCCAGATCTGACCAGGTCCATTGCCATCCCTAGTTTGGATTGTGTGAGATTTGAGCGCAAGTGCTTCGAGCAAAAGAGCTACTCAAGATGTTTTGTTAGCTTCATTTTGGGATCCACTTTAGAATTATCAAATGAGTATTTTCAAAGATGATTCGATTTTTGGTTCTTAAGTGATTTGAAAAAATATAAAGAAAGTATTTTCAAAGATGATTGGATTTCTTTGGAAATGAAGAAATAATTAAGAAAAATCTATGTCGGGTTACGTTTAATACAACTTAAAAAATAAAAATAAATAATAAAAAAAATTTAGTTGAGCTGAGCCAAG